TAAATGTTAGTAGCATTAAAAATGTGGGAAACAGCATATTTTAAAATAAAATGGAGATCTTCTTTAAAGGGTGAAAACTCATTCAATTTTATGTCTTACAGGGTTTATACTGAGTTCAATATTGTATGACTGTATTAATTCAACTGTGAACCTAAAAATTTACAGCCACCTTTGAAAGAGATGTATCCTTGCTGTGTAATGTGTTGCTGAATATGTTAAAGCTGTAATGAAATGCTTCTTCTAATCATGTGGTTATTAAATTTAAAAATTTTTTAAAAAAGGGAGGGTACTAAAAGCTGCAAGAGAAAAACAACAAGTCACATGCACAGGAAAACATATCAGCTTTACAGAATTGCAGCTGACTTTTCAATGCAAACTATGAAATCCAGAAGAGCCTGTACCAAAGTATTCACAGTTCTAAATAACCATAGATGCCAACCCAGAATACCTGACTCAGCAAAACTGACTATTGTAGTTAAAGGGAATAGAACAGTCTTCCATGACATGAGCAGGCTGAAAGAATTCATGTCCATTAAACTATCCCTTCAGAGTCTACTCGAAGCAATACAAATGACTGAGAACAGGAACAACCCAAGAGGCAACAGAACGTATGATTGTGGAAACACAAAATTAGACCAAGGATACAAACAGAAATTAAAATGATGATAACCAATACACATCTTTCAATCAATGGCCTGAACACCCCAGTCAAAAGACACAGGTCAGCTGAATGGAATAAGAAATGAAATCCATCTTTTTGTTGTCTGCAAGAAACTCATCTCACCTTTAAGGACAGGCACTACCTTAAAGTGAAAGGATGGAAAAGAACATTCCAAGCAAATGGCACTAAGAAACAAGCAGGGGTTGCAATTCTAATAACTGACAAAATAGACTTCAAAGTAAAACTAATCAGAGGAGATAAAGAGGGTCACTTCATTCTGACCAAAGGACAATTAACCAAGAAGATATTACAATCCTGAACATATATGCACCAAACTCTGGTGCACCCAAATTCACATAAACAACACTACAGGACTTTAAGACACATATTAACCCCAGCTCAGTAATAGTAGGGGAATTCAGTACCCCACTGTTTCCATTAGACAAGGTAACTGGACAAAGAATAAACAGAGAGGCATCTTAATTAAATGATACCATACATCAAAACCCAGAGGGAATCATATTAGTTCAACAATCTAAGGACAAATTACTCATACAATATCTCTACATGAGTCCACGTGTATAATTCAAGGTTATATAACAAGAATCAGTACAAACAGTGCCAGACAGGAGAGACTTCCCTTTGAATTGTTGGCCAGGGTAGTCCAAAAGACTCCCAAAATTATACAGGTTATTGCCACAGCCCTTGACTCCCTCCCAGAACTTGAAGGTAAGACCCTATTGCTGAAGACAGGACATATTTCAGACACAGGACTTGGAGCAATGGAGTTGGAACTGACCTGGAAGCCCTTCCCTGAAGGTTAGCTCTCATAGTTTTGGAGAGCACTATGCAAGTTATTAAGGGAGAACATCAATCAATGGTCCAACCCCAGCTTTAAGGCCTAATAACCACAACACTGAGTGGCACAGCAAACTATATTGGTGCAGTAGTAGCACTTTTCTCTTGGGGGGCAATCAACAGCTACCTAATTGGACTTAAAGCCCACTCAATGGGAGAGAATTCATGTGTGGTACTGTAAATATAGCCAAATACACATGGCTGGAGAGGTCATAGATCTTAGAGAAAATCCCAAGGTTGTCACATCCCTAGACAAATGTAATTTCTTACTATGTGCTAAATATGGATCCTTATATTTACAGACAATTATGCCAGTTACCACTCATCAAAGAAGCTTCTTTTGCAACAGATGGAGATTATTACAGAGTTCCTCAACTGGTCCCACATAGAGATTAAGTGTCTGTGAAATGCCCAACCCTAAGTGACACATCTACAATGGAACCTTTACACTTAAGGCTCACAGAACATAGTGGAACAAGAGGTAGAGAGAATACTAATGCATCTCTCAACTCTCATTAATGAAGCTCTCTTGTACAGCAGAGGACAATGAACATAAAGGGCCACAAACAGCTACAGAAAGAGAATAAGAGTCTGCAGAGTGTGGGTCCTTGGACATGACTCCTATATTAACCTCCACTCACCCAGGGCTCAGGGACAACTGTGGAAAGATGGGGTGGAAAGATTTTAAGAGCCAGGGGAGAAGGTGCATGACCATATGGAAACAGAGGGTCTTACAGGCTCCTGGGACCTTGCTCACACGAACTTACAGCAATAGTGATAACATGTACAAGACCCATGCAGACTCAAACAGACAAAAGCTCAGCATTGAACTGTGGAAATGCAGAGCAGACCCCAATCTTAGCCAAAGAACTTTTGGGCAGCTGATTACTGTGGGTGAGGAAAAGTGATCTTTAAGGGAGTGAGTCTAGACAGGTTGATTAGATCCCAGTGGATGAACTTACACTGAGGGACATCTGGGAACACTTAACTTGACAGACCTTAACATAAATAACAAAATGCATGAAATCCAGAAAGGGAGAGAGTTATGGGAGTGTGTCATTGGGAAGGGGGGATAAAGATGATTAAGATATTATGTACAAAGTACAAAAAAATTCAATTAAAAATATCCAAAATAAAGTCCACATAGAAATAACCATTAATAATATATAGGTTCTGTTTCATTGTACAACATTATCTAACAGTTTTTGCAATATTTATGAATGCCTATTATTATAGACAATACTATTTTAGTTATTGTGTAAAAATCTTTGGATTTCTGATCAGTTCTTAGTGCACTTTTCTTAGGACTGGAATTCCCAGGTAAAGGAAAAATAGCACTTGATGACTCTAGTTATTTATTGCCAAACTGCTTTTTGGAAAGTTTAAATCAGTTCACCCTCCTAAAGCAGAGCACATTATCTGTGTCACTATAACCACGGGTAAGATTTAACTTTTATAAGAAATGACTAGCCAGTGAACATTCATTGAGTGCCCACTGTGAACTGAACAGAGCATCCTGCTACCATCAAATGTTACTTGTTTTCACAGCTCACTTTAGGTCATCCTAGTTTCTCCAGGGCTTGGGAGCAATCTGAAAGCAGGGATGACCTTAGAAAGAACTCACTAAAACACTGATGATTGCTTTCTGAAAAGAACAGCATTTGGAGGAGGCCTAAGTCTGGCACTTGAGGGAGTGAAGCATACGTCCACTGCTGAGCTGTTTTAAATTGGGCGGAATGAGAGCAATCAAGAACACAGGGGGGAAAGCTCTGTAGGCTGATGGGGGTGCAGGGATTATCTAATAGGTCTTTCTGGCCTCTCAGTTTGAGTATTCAGACACTTTAGTCACTTTGCTGGAAGATTTTTGCAGTTCATGCATCAATACTGTTTCTTAGAATAAATATATTATTTCACTTTTGAAGCTCATTTTCTGTATGAGGTTGGATAACAGTATGACATCCTATGAGGGTCGTTTTCATTTTCCTCTCATGTCAGATATTCTTCTCCTTTATCAGCAAGGCAATGCAACTTGCTCTATGATCATTGGAAAATAAGGCCCTAACACAATTCACAGTAGAACAAGGGGCAATTACTAACCACGGGTAAGGCATACGTTCGACCTTAAAAATATTATGCAACCAAAGAAATGCAAACCAGTCACCACAATGCCTAAGAAACATGTAAAAATGCAGAAAATGAAAACTTCCTAATACACAAAAGAGTGTGTAAACTGGCCAACAACTGGTAATATTATAAATAATTACAATCCATTTTGAAAGCAATTTGGCAATGTTTCAAGAGCAATAAAAAGACCCATACCATTTAACTCCTTGATTACACTAAGAATTCATCTTAAAAAATAAAATTCAAATGAATGACAAGGCTCTTGGGAATAAGGATATTCACTACACTATTACGTTGGCAATTTTTTAAAGATTTGCTTTATTTTTAATTACGTGTATGCATGTGTATTTTTGTGGGGTATGTGCGTGTGTGTACAGGTGTCTGAAGAGGCCAGAATAAGATATCAGATCCTCTGGAACTTGGGTCATAGATAGTTGTGAGTCACCTGATGTGGGTGCTGGAAATTAAACTCAGGTCCTTTGGAAGTACAGTAAGCACTCTTAACTGCTGAGCCATCTCTCGAATCCCTCTATTAGTAAAAAAATTTAAAACAGTCAAAATGCTTAGCACTAGAGGAAGCAATGCTTAGCATCTCAGTGGAGCAACAGACAATCTCATGACTCCAGGTAGTGCGTGCACTACAGGAGAGCAACATACTAAATGTACTTGATGGTTGTAATTAAGTATGTAAAGGGACCCTGATGAGAAGAAAGCATAGAAAAGTAGAACTAACCTGTTAAGATGGTGAACTACTCCGTGATTTCCTCGTTTGTGTGTAGTTACTGCAATATTTAACCATTTTTAGCACTTTAGAGTACTTCTAAAATGCCAGCCTGGTCTACATAGTGAGTTCCAGGACAGCTGGGACTACACGGAGACCCTGTCTCAAAAAGAAAGAAGAAAAAAAAAAAAGACATACTCCAAGCCAGGCCTGGTGGTGCATGCCTTTAATCCCAGCATTGAGGAAGCAGAGACAGGCAGATCTCTATGAGATTGAGGCCATCCTGATCTAACGTTGGAGTTCCAAGCCATCTGGGCTACAGGGAGACACCCCCCCGCCCCCCCCCAAAAAAAAACCCACAACCAAGTCATACTGCACATTGTTCATCGCACTGGCTTACATTTTCCATGCTTCTTCCACGGTGCGCCTCCTCTCAAGGATCTCCCTCCGCAGCTTTACCATCTCCCTCTGAATCACCTCCTTTCTTCTCTTGGCCTCCAGAGCCTTCCTTCTCTTCTCTTCTTGCACTAGACACTGAGCCTCTAGGAAGGCTGATTTTTTCAGGGCATTTTCCATTCTCTGGAACTCTAGCTGTTTCTCACGTCTTAAGAGATTTTCTCTTACCTTAAAGAATACAAGTAGAAGGGCACATTTTGAGTTCAGAATACAACAAAGGTGAACACATAGTCAGATGAAGAGGACTCAAACCATCAGGGAATGATCTACACTGTAGAAAAGCTAAATCCAATGAATGACCAGATCCTGAGTTTTGGATTCTTACTTAAAAATGATTTCCCACCCTTAAACTTGTCCCATGTGTACTTGACAGCTTTTTATTTAGGCTATGTACTTTAACTAAAATCTAAGAAAGAATAAGGATGCAATCTGGTGGCTACACTGTGCAGGATAGAACAGTGGAGATGTATTGCATCTATCCATCTCTATTGTTATTAAAGTATGCTCCTTTATCTAAATAAGCACATTCACTTTTCCCACATCTGATTCTTTAGAGGCTTGACTCTTCTCTCAGCTTCATCCTTCTCTTGCCCTCTAATTGTGGTAAGACAATGACCTTGTATCTTACTGAACCTTCTCCTTCTTTTTGTTATATCCAAATCAGATCAGACTTCTTCCCATTTATCTGAACACTTCTGGGGCTGATGAGGAGTACCTTAATGGTTTACAATAATGATTTTCAAGTTTTGTAATTAGAAATCTAGTGTTATACAAAATAGGCATTGATTCCAGTCCAGTCTTAGTCGTGGATATATGGCAAAGACATGGTCATTCTAGGTCCAATGCTCCTCTGCAAAGCACCAAGGTAGTCTTTTCCTCTATTACCTACTATTCCTTTTGGAGAAAGGAAAGTTCCCATATGCCTTCCTAATTCAAAACAGCTGAACTAGATTTAATTCAGATCTGTCCTCCTTTTCAAATTATAATCACAAAATGAGTGAATTTCAGTTGTCTAGAAAAGAATTATCCTTATAATATTCAGTAGAATATTCATGATAATATATTAATGTCACAATTCAAAGACCAAATTGGAGCAAATGCAATCTACATATTTATAATAGGAAGTACCACATTCCAACTAACAAAGTTTAGTTCAGTATTCAACTGGTCAAAATCAATTACTCTAATTTTGGTTATTTCTTAAATAAATAGTTTCCTACTCTCGGTTTATGAGAATTATTTTTCTTCTGAAGTTCTTATATTTTATTTTTATTCTTCCTTACCAAACCACAGATGGCACCCTTTTTTCATAATAAAGCCTAAGTCTTTATTTAAGCTTATTAAATGTGTTACACAAAGACTGCTTCCTGTTATCCATTTTAATTTTGTTTTTCCCTCCCACCTGCTTATGTCTCATCTCCATGGTAAGACGAGGATCCTTCTGCTGCCTCTTGCCTTGGTTTTCCTTCATTCCAAGATCTTCCACCATCACAGAATTTACCACTTCTTTATGGAGCAGATGGTCTATAAATTTTTGAACAGTGGTACTTTCCACTTCTTCCTCCAAATAGCCACACAAATCTGGGAGTGAAAAAACAACAAAAAAGGGAATTTTTAAAAATTAATATTAATATAGTCCTATTTATATTTAAAAATCCTGAAAAATCCAAGGCTGGGACTGTTTAATAAGTAGGAACAAACAATGCCAGTTGGATAAGCGTGGCCCTCAGCAATTATCTTCAGTTAACAGGACAAAGCTCCAGTCATCAGAAACTGCCCACACCCAAGTCACTAAAGACTTCTTCATGGCCAAATCTAGAAGATACTACTTCAACCTAGACAACATTGAGAATTCTACTGCAAACAAAACAAAGTAAAACTAAAACAAGCAAACAAAACACTCAACTGTTCCCAGGACATAGCTCAGTAGCATACTACATGCCTAGTATATACAAGGCCCTGGCCTCAATCCCATTCTTTTACTGGAAAAATGCCTAGGAGTGGCTATCCTATGGGTACATTATATGATATGTGCATACTAAACATTTTAGGAAACTATCAAACTGTTATCTGAAGTGGCATACAATTTTACATTCCTACCAGCACTGAGCTCCTCCACATCTTTACCAATGTTCGCTACGGCCAGTCTTAAGTAGTTATAACTCACTGTAGTTTTAATCTGTGTTTTTCTAATGAGGAGACTGAACAGTGAGACTAGGTGATCTTAAAGCAGTCTCCTAATTCTCAGAGCTCATGACTGTGAGTCTCTAACTGGGGACTTTATGTAGAGTCCTAACAAGAGGAATGTGCCAGATGGCTTCACCAAGGCTGTATGAGTCATGGGTAGAAAGCTGCCCCACCATAACTATGTTTAACACTTCCTCAGAGGAAAAAAACCCTCCAACCCTTGAAGTTCATTCAAATGGTCCTTACAAGTTGGCTATTTGTCTGACTCTAGCTGTACACACACACACACACACACACACACACACACACACACACACAAAACCCTGAGAAAAGTAATAACCTCTCTTAGAAGTGAAAACTAATCAAAATATAAGAAGTATTTTATAAGTATAAAATGATATGAAATGCTTAAATGTAGTCTCCATCAACATAAAAAATGATACATAGGCTAGAGGTACGTATAAGCAAATTTTTAAATAATGGAATATTGTAATTTTAAAAAGCAATAGGAATTTACTGAGGATATAGTATAGGAAATTTATATTAAATGAAGAAAAATTAAACTCATAAATAAACCAAACACACATACATCAAAGGCATATTCTTTGTTTTTCCCAAGATATAGGCGAGTCTCACTATGCAGCCCTGGCCTGGCCAGCCTGGAACTCTATGTGGACCAGGCTGACCTTGAACTCTGTTTCCCAGGTTCTAGGATTAAAGGCATAGGCAACTATGCTGAGTTTATTTATTATTGAAAACAATAAAAAGTACTTCTTTGAAATATTCACTAGCTGTTAAAACAGAATAATAAGATATGTTCTTACCATCAAACTTGTCGTATTTCAAATGCCCACTGGCTTCTGGCACAGTGTCAGTATCATCTTCTCCATCACTTGCTAATTCTTGTTTAAGTTTGTAATCTAACCAGTCGTTGACTAACTCCTGAGCTATCAATGAAATGAAAATATCTTTTAGTATTTTGGTTACTTAAAGACTTATTTGCTGTTTTCACTCATTCAGTATGTATCATTTGGGCATCTATCATGTGTCAAGAATATTTTTAGATACTAGGAATATAATAGTGAACAAAACTGGAAAAATCAATGTTACCACAATGAAGCTTACATTCTCATTAGGGAAAAATGATAAATTTATAAATAAATAAATAGGAGAAAAACAAAGCAGGGAAAGGAGAAATGGAAGCTGGGTACCATAGTTTTGAATTAGGTGTCCAAAGAAGAGCTTGCTGGGAAGATTTGTGAGCAAAGAAAGGAAGCGAGTGAGCCACATGGACATATAAGGGAATATAAACCATGCAGAGGGGCAGCAAGTGCAAAGGTCCTACTGCAGGCATGTCTACATGTGGAGAAGTAACAAGGAGGGCAATATGGCTAGTGAGACATGAGGGAGCGAGAAGAAGGGAGGGGGAGGAAGGAAGGAGGGAATAGGAAGAAATGAAATGGAAGAGGTGGTACTCTGGCTCCTCCTCTGAGCATGATGGGAAGCCACAGGAGGGTATGAATAAAGAGTTGACATGTTGTAAGAGGATCATTTTGACTTACTTCTCTATAATAGACAATATGGGACAAGCAATGAAGGAGATGCCAACTGGGAGATGAATATAATAGTCCAGTAAAGAGGTGATGGTTGTCTGGTCTTGGAGTAGAGCATTTAAAAATGGCTAGAGTTTAGAAAATGTTTTGAGACAGAGTTAACGTGATTTTGCTGATAGATATGGGATACAAGGAAAAGAAATCTACGAAGTGTTAGGCTTAACCTCAAGAACAGAAATGCCATTTGTTGAGGTGAAGAAAGGACAAAGGAACAGAAAGTTTGGGGGAAAATTTAGTCTCAAATATTAGGTTTGAGATGTTTATGAGACAGCCAAATAGGAAGTCAATTTGATATTGGTGACAATACTCTAGATTTCAGGGGAGAGGTCCAAACTGAAGAAGGAAATGAGGGAGCTGTCAGCACACAGATTGTATTTAATTAACATCTTACAACAGGATGGTATTAGCAGATGAAGAACGTAAGTGGAGAATTTAAAAAACTAGCCGGGCGTGGTGGTGCACACCTTTAATCCCAGCAGACGCAGGTGGACCTCTGTGAGTTCGAGGCCAGTCTGGTCTACATAATGAGTTCCAGGCCAGCTGGGGCTACAGGGACAGGGAGACCTTGTCTCAAAAAGACCAAAAAATAAAATAAAATAAAATAAAAATAAATAAATAAATAAATAAATAAACAAACAAACTGAGTGCTGAGGAAAGCCAGCATTTAGAAGTCCTATCAGGAAAGCTGAATAAGGAGTGACCCTTGAGTTAGAAAGAAAGTCAAAGTATGTAAGTTGAAAGCCAGCTTCCATTTCAAAGACATGAAGAAAATCTTAACATAAGTAAATATGGGAGAATATGTCTACTTTAGCATTACCTTGCTTTAGCAAGACCTTCACCACTGTAATTTCATGGATCTTAGGGAATGAGGTATTTCTATATAGTAACTGATATCGAGACATTTAATAGAGACAAAATAGGGCAAAAACAAATCAGAGCACAATAACAGTCCCTTATCTATAGTTCTACTTTCCACAGTCTTAGTTACTTAAGTCAACTGAGGTCCAAAAACAAATAGAAAATTCCAGAAATAATTCCTAAGTTCTGAACTGCAGACTGTTCAAGTAGCAAAACAAAAGCTTGGGCTGTCTTGTGCCATCCCACCTGGGACATGAATCATTCCTTTATCCAGTACATTCTCACTGGTCACACTGTTGTTAGTGGCTTAGATACCACCTCATCTATTAGACTGATTATCTGCCACAATGTACAATGATTGTTTCCCTTAGATAACAGCCCTAATGCTTTCTGAATGCTTTGTCATTCACCTGACTCTGAATCACTCAGGGACTATATTATATCATATCATCACAAGAACAGGGATGAGTAGAGTATAATAATATATTTTAAGAGAGACTCCATTCACATAACTTTAAGTATTTACTAAAATTGTTTGATTTTATGATGTTACTGTTAATTTCTTACTGAACTTAATTTATACATTAAACTTTATCATGGGTATGTAAATATAAGAAATAATATTATCTATATAGGTTTTGGAACTATCTTCAGTTTCAGGCATCCAACTAGGGGTCTTGGAACATACTTCCATAGATGGGATGGGGGGAACATAGTAGAAACTAAGTGCACAATCACTCAGGCATTTATGTATATAATTTGTATGTAAAATAATTTAGGTCTCTCAAATGCCACTCCCAGGTAAGTGAAGGTTTATTATGAAGTACTCCTAAAAGAACAAAGAAAGAATGCTTTCCTTGGGAGTTAAACTATGTAACCTTCATGCTGGCTTGGGACAAGAGGTAAACAGACTTCATAGAAGCAGTTTTTCAAAGTATTTCCTCACAGCACAAATTATGGTAGGATGTTAATGTAGTTGATGAGCAGAGAACAAATAAATAAACCTTTGCAAATCATGTTCTGTCCATAAACTAGAACATTCTAATATGGACCAGTAATTTCTCAGGATGGTAATAGGTACTGTAGAATAAAACATCCCCTCCCCCATCCCTATCCTCCCAAAAGCTCATGGTCTAGAAAGCTTGGGAAATTGGGTAAGAAAGCAATTTTTTTAAACTGTAGAATGTCTGAGAACTTTTTTTTTTTTTGGTCCTTTTGAGACAGGGTCTCCCTGTAGCCCCAGCTGGCCTGGAACTCCCTATGTAGACCAGGCTGGCCTTGAACTCACAGGGCCTGTCTGCCTCAATGGATCTGCTGGGATTAAAGGCATGTGCCACCACGCCTGGCCTTTTCTGAGAACTCTTAAAGTATATTTTGTATCCCTACTGGCGAAGTGGAAGGTGAAGGGGGCAAGACTGTCTACAGCATTGATCTCTTTTATTGCCAGTACTACCAACCACCTGAGACTAACCATCACTGCTCACCCAAACATTGCAACAGCTTCCAACTGCTTATTTCCCCCTCATTTCTCCCCTGTGCTACATTCTTCACGCATTTAAATGATAGGACTTTTATACTTCTGACTCAATCTTATCCTACTCAGAATAAAATATAAATTATTTCCCAGGCCAATAATGCCTTATGTGAAGGGCATCCTCACTGTTTACTCCTTCACACTCATGTCTACTGGAAGTGCCAGACTCACAGGCCTTCCTTCAGCTGCTTGTGTACCCCAAGCTTGTCTGTACTTTAAGCTCTTGATACCACCACCTTTCCATCTTCACTGATCAATGCTCAGCCAATTCCTTGTTATTCAAGTCCTAACCTAAATGATTGAGCGCTATAATGTTTTCAGTTCTCTTCATTATCACACTAGAATGTATAGTCCATGAAAACAACAGTTTTCCTCTCTTGTTCATAATTCACACTTTCAGGGCCTATATAGTAGAGCAAGACTTAAATATGTACACATTCAAAAAATAAATAAACAAATGAAATAATTGAGGAAATAAATAAACCAAATAGAAACTGTCTTGCACAGCACAGCACTTTGACTTCCCTTCTTCCTCAGTGGACTCTCCAACCCAGTCTCCTTTGCTGGCTCCTCCAGATCCAATCAATCCCTACATGGTGCAGTCATTCAGCAACTTAGCAATTAAAATACTGATTTCCAAGTGAAGGACACTTTGCAGGGCTTTGTAGAGGTCAAATCACCAGTATAATACCAGATCAGACTAGCATGCCACCATCTTTGTCACAGGACTAATGCCTGATATCCCTTGCCAGTTGTCTATTATGTCTAAATAACTCTGGCCATGGCTGCTTCATTTCAGGAAACAAAGTAGGCTTTAAATATGGTTTTCCAGGGTTAGAGAGATTACTCAGTGGTTAGGAGCTGCTCTCACAGAGGATCCAAGTTTGATTCTGAGCATCCACTCACGTCAGGTGGCTCACAACTGCCTGGGTCTCCAGTTCCAGGGAATCAAGCATCTCTGGCTTCCTCAGAAACTTATACCCATGTGCACATACCCACAGGCAGAGACACACACACATACACACACACACACATAATTTTTTAAAAAAATCTTTACATAAGTCTTTACATGTAGTAATGGAGTTGACTCCAGAGTAAGCAAGCTTCAAGATAGTAGAGAGAAGCAAAAACTAAGACTGAGAATGAGGGGCTGGAGAGATGGCTCAGGGGTTAAGAGCACTGGCTGCTGTTAGAGAGGACCTGGGTTTGATCCTCAACACCCACATGGCAGCTAACCATATGCAACTCCAGTTCCAGGGGAGCTGACACCCTCTTCTGACCTCCATGGGCACTGCGTGACACAGATGAACTTACATACATGTAGGCAATATGCTTATACACATAAAATAAAAATAAAATAAAATTTAAAAAGCATGAGAATATGAAAAGCTTTCATTCTGAATTTTGGAGTGTGTTATGGGTTATGCTTCAAAAACTGTAAACATCACAGTAAATCAAAGAAAAGCATTCTCTCACCTTCTGCATAGACATCATCATGATCCTCTGTTTGCTCACATGTTTCCAAATTTATTGTTTGCCTCCAAAGACTTCCAGGTAAATCTGAATTTCTGATAGGAAATGCATTTGAAAAAGTAAATTCTGAGGCTTTCTCCACTCCCTTCATTATAACAGAAAAAAAAAATCTGTCAGATGATAGTAACCTCATTCAGGGTTAGAGAATGTCCACCCTACTGTGCAATCCAATTTTCTACCAAGTAGTAAGACTCTTTAATTTTCCCATTTTTGATGGAACTCTGAGCAATACTTTAGTTTTGCATGTAATATTAAATTAACTGCAACATTTCACCAAGTTCTAGTAGGTGTTCACAGTGTTTATAAGGAGGTTATTTAGGGGGCTAGAGAGATGGTTCAGTGGTTAAGAGCACTGGATGTTCTTGCAGAAGACTTGGATTCAATTTCAGCACCCATATGGTGTAGCAGTCCATAACTCCAGTTCCAGGGGATCTGACACTCTCTTCTGACCTCTGAGGGCATTGCATGACACAGGCGCACTAACACACATGCAGACAATACACTCATACACATAAAATAAAAATGATATATGTTTTAAAAGGTTATTTATGCTTAAGATAAATTTTAAAAATAGGGGTAGTAAGAGGTGCTTGTATATAGGCCTGACAACCTACGTTTGAGCCCTGAACCCTACATGTGTATGGCATTTCCAAGTCTACACACACACACACACACACACACACACACACACACACACACAAACTTATTTTTATTAGTATCATCCAAAATAATGGTTTTCATTATGACATGTTCATATGTGCATATAACATACTTTAATCAAATTCTCCCCATTACCAATTTTGCCTCTCTTTGGGTAACTTTTGTTTAGGGCATTAGTAATGGGATCCTGAGACCTTAATACTTTATTCTGAATATACACATTAGTTTCTATGCCACTAGGACTTGCAAATGAGTATGAACCACAGGCTGAGTACCTACAATTTCTTCAAATTACTACTCATAAGAGGGACCTCCTGGTATGCATTAGGCAAACCATAGGTTCAATAAAATTGAGATAGTCACTGAACTGTAGAGTCATGTAGACTATTTTAACTCAACACTAAGAGTTTAGCAAAAACATGAAAAATATATGGGATTGGCAAAGGGAAATGGTGGAGATAAGCAATCACCTGGAACTTACAGAGTAGGAAAGAACTTACTCAGAACTGAAACCCTGACATTTTGTGTCCCCACAAACCTGCTTTCCTGTTCTTAATGAGCTCCCCATCTTCAACCCGGATACTGACAGCTCCTTTGGTTCAGATCTTCCTCCCTCTGTCCTTCTTTCCCTCCCCACAAACAATATGCTAGGAAATGGTCCTAATCTGACCCCTTCCCTTATCTCCATTGCTAACATCACTTCAGTCCAAGGAACAATTTCCTAACAGATTTTCTAGAATAGTCTTTTACCACAGCAGTAAGTGATCCCTTTCAAATGAAAGCATATCATATTATAACTCAAATATTTCAATGGCTCCCTATCTCAATCAGAATGTAGACAAATCCTTACAATTGCTTCAAGGACCTGGACCCTTAGCCCTTTGTAAGCTTTGTAACCTCCTCCCAAGGTCACGCTGTGTCAACCATATCGACCCCTTTGTGTGTTCTTCCTTTAAATATGCCACAGTGTTGCCACATCAAGGCCTTAGTAATTAGTACCTCTCTATCTACATACCTGTCCTAGTTTGTTTCTTCATTGCTGTGACAAAATACTCTGACCACTACCAATTTGGGGAGGAAAGGGTTTATTCAGCTTATATCTCCCAGGTCACAGCTCATCAGGGAGCCCAAGGTAGGAACTCAGGGCAGGAACCTGGAGGCAGGAGCTGGAGCACAGGCCATGGAGGAATGCTGCTTACTGGCATGCTCCCCTGGCCATTACTTAGCCTTCTTTCTTATGCTACATAGGCCCACCTGCCCAGGGGTGGCACCACCCAGAGTGGGCTGGACCCTCCCACATCACTCATCAAGAAGATGCCCCTCAGACATGGCCACAGGCCAGTCCAATAGAGGCAATTCCCTGATTGAGGCTCCCTCAACCCAGGTGTGTCAAGTTGACACTAAAGCTGTCTAGCACAATACCCTTCCCTGCAATATCCATGACTCTTCCCCTCACCTCTAGTCTTTGCTCAAATGTCACCTTTTCAGGAGTGCTTCTCTGAGCACCTAATAGAAAACTGTAACAACCCTCAGTCTCCTCCAAGTAGAACATTACCAGAAATTGTTTCCTTCTTCACAAGAGAACTCCTAGCAACTAGAAGGATGCTGGCTCTCAACAGATGCCCAAGGAATATTTAGTAAAGGAATGAGTAACTTAAAGATTTAGTCAAAGATGTTGCACTTTCCTATTTTGTACTGTTCCTGACCTACTTTGAAAATGACTTTGCCTCTTGCCCTTGGTAGAAAGATTGGTAATAACTTTGCTGAAATCTGTCATAGGATTAATTAATTCTCATGTTTCATATATTGTTTCAGACAGAAGCAGACGAATAAAGTTTAAAAGTCAAAGACAATTTGAAAAAGATATAGAAATTAGAGTACACATTGAATGATACAAAGCAGAACAAGACAGGATCATCAGAGCTGAGTCTAGGAAAATACCAGGTCGCTCTACAGAGACCTGTTTCCTAAGTCATTCCCACAGCCCATAGCCTGTCCACATTTATGCTGGTATATACCATTAAATGGATTTATGTTGGTAGTCCTACCCTTTAGGTTCTTAAATTCTAAGAAAGCAAGATGACTTCACATTTACTGTAATATGTGTATACACACATAAATAAATCAACTTTAGTTTTTAAACAAATACTCATAAACGAAGGAAACACAAGATTTGTAAAGTAGATTTAATTCTTTAGATTATGAAAACAAGAAATAACTGTAATGCCCTGTCACCTCACCTGACTTGGAATATGAACAGAATTCTTTAAATATCCTTCTAATGGAGCTGAAGAGATGGCTCAGCAGTTAAGAACACTTGCTGCTCTTCCAGAGGACCTGTGTTTGATTTGCAGCACCTACTTCGTGGCTGACAGCCATCTGAAACTCCAGTTCCAGAGGATCTGACACCCTTTTCTGGCATCTATGGGCATTACTTGCACGTGGTACACTTACATACATGCAAGCAAAACACTCATACACATAAAATATATATATACATATTATTAAATCCTTCTTGGAGTTGAAGAGATGGCTCAGTGGTTAAGAGCACTGGCTGTTCTTGCAGGGTACCTGGGTTTCATTCTCATCACCCACATGGCAGCTAACAACCATCCTTAACTCCAGTTCCAGGGGATCCAACATCCTCTTCTCCCTATGGGCACTATACGACACAGATGCATTTATATGCATGCAGGAAATAAACTCATACATCAAAAAAAAGGTTTTTTAAAAATCCTTCTTATTACATTTGTGTGTGTGTGAGCGCGTGGCAATGTGTGGAAGTCAGAAGACAACTGTGGGAAGTGGCTCTTTTCTTCCACTATGTGGGTCCCAGGGATCAAACTCAGGTCAGAGGCAGCAGGTACCTTTACTCACTGAGCCATCTTACCGGTCCTTGTATGAGTTCTTTACAGAGGCGGGCAGACAGCTTGGGAAGTAAGAGGAAGACTGATCTTGATACTAAAGAAAGGGTCTGGTACTGACAGTTGAGTGAAGGGAAATGTTTGCTTGGTTCTAACAAAGCCAGTGTTTAGGATATCTACTACATGGTATTAAGGATTAGAAATACTGTTTGCAATTCTTTGTCTTAAAATACTATTTTTACTTTTTCCAAAATGAATATTAAGAGATAAGAGAGGTCTAGTCTATATTTCAGTAACTTGTGTCATTTTAACATCTTATTCTTTAGGTCTGAACTGAAGTCTAGCTCTGTACCCAGGAATCTATTGAACAGTATGGAGAAACAAATGTTTCTGTTCTTTAAAAGTTCATGTTTTTGTTTTGGGTTCCATATGTCATGTGTATAATAAGCAGTTTAAGAATGGTTCTAAAGCAAGACAGAATGATTTAAAATAAAAAAAGCTTATTTTGAGTGCATGTGTGTATATGTGCAAATACGTGTGTGCAAGCAGGTGCATATACACCTGTGTGTGTGGAGGGCAGATGATAACTTTGAGTACGGATCCTTGGGAGTTGACAATTAGGTTAGGCTGGCTGGCCAGTGAGCCCTAGATCCACCTGTCTCTACCTCCCTGGAGCTAGGATTACAAACAGCACTATGCCTGGCTTTTTATGTGGTTTCTGGGAATCTAACTTGAGTCCTTAGGCTTCTAAGTCAAGCACTTTAATGACTGAACCATCTTTCCAGCCCTAAAAAGCAATTTATTAGTAGCTATGTCCCATAATAACGACTTTACAACACATTATTTCAGCATTTCTATGACCTTATTCATGTTCCTCATCTCCCACATAACACCATGGATGGCAGAAACAGTCACTACAATGTGATCCTTTATTTCCTCATGACCAGATGATACAAACAGGAGTTTCTTAACATATCATCATATTCATACTACAGGTGTAAGAGTTTTATAAATAATATATTTTTTTAAAGTGTCCACTTTTTTTCAGACAGGATCTCACTAGGTAGCCTGGAACTCAAACTTACAGAGATCCATCTGCCTCTGCCTCCAAAGTCCTGGGATTAAAGGTGTGTGCCACCACACCTGGATGAAAAGGCCTAATTCTTTTAAAATCACTCTTTATAAAATCAAGTGTTTGATGTTTTATCAATAAGTGTTTATAAAACAACCCCAAGGAAAAGTATTCAAGAATGGGATTAGGTTGTCAAAGCAGGTTTGGGGCATCTCAGGCTGAGTTATATGGGAAGGATCTAGACTGTGTCTCAGAGAAGAAAAGTAGTTCAGCTGAGACATCAGTATGTAACAAAGCAGGAGAACACCAGCTTGATGGAGGGGAAAGAAAAAAGCCTGGAAGGAGAGGAGCCAAGCAGGGCATTAGTATAAAGGCTGTTTCAGATAAACCAGTATTACAGGTTGATTGACAGATGACCTGAGATGCCCACCTGGAATCGAGTTTCATCTGATGGCACACAGACTGTTTAGAAAGCTCAATCAAGCAGGAGGATACACTGGAGTAAGATGAGCCAGCTAGGATCAAGACGGGTTGTAAATCATAGAGTGCTGCATTTAGCATTAGCCAAGCATCTGCCTGATTCTAAGTGATTTCAACATTTCTGTGGGAGGTTCACCAACATCTCTGTCTCAAGGTTTGTTGGACCGTCTACATCCCGACAGTTTTCCCCACAATTCCACTTTGGCAACCTACTCATCCTCAACCATATCATACATAATTTTTTATTCCTTGAACTAAACTCTGACAACCACTTCTGAAACATCATTCTCCTGCCTCCCTGTTTCATTCTTCCTCATCCTGTGACATTGAGGTCCGAACCAACCAAGTTTTCTAGTTGATGAAACCATTTTCTCTCCTGTATCTGAAAGTCCTGCAAAGGGTCCTTCCCTTCCTACCCATGTTGATATTCAGCTATCTGATTTTCAAATCCCTGGTCCTTTGCATTTGCAATGATAAGCCCCAAGCGTGGGTCAATATAATCTACTAAATTTTTTGGACCATAAAAATTATGGTTATATGACTGGGCATGGTGGCACACACCTTTAATCCCAGCACTCGGGAGGCAGAGGCAGGCGAATCTCTGTGAGTTCTAGACCAGCCTGGTCTACATAGTGAGTTCCAGGCCAGCTGGGACTATAGGGAGACCGTGTCTCAAAAAGACCAAAAAATCCCCAAAAAAACTATGCTTATATGCTTCAACTAAGGCCCTGGTGCTACTGGGGAATCTTTTTGTTCTGTCCTAAAGAGAGGCCTTTCTCTATCTTCACCATCTTTCCACAGAACAAGGCCTCAGCTGTTTATCAACGATTGAGCCACATAGTAGATCTGGAAGTTTTTATTTATTTATTTATTTATTTATCTATTTATTTATTTATTATTTTTATTTTATGTGTATGGGTGTATTGTCTGCATGTAGGTAGGTGCATCCACAACGTGCAATGCCTGTGGAGGTCAGAACAGGTCGTCGGATCCTCTGGAACTGGAGTTAAAGACAGTTGTTAGCTGCCATGTGGGTGCTGGGACTGGAACCCGGTCCTCAGCAAGAACAACCAGTGCTCTTAACCACTAAGCTATCTCTCCAGTCCCTTAGATCTGGAAGTTTTAGAGTGAAAAGTTGTAACTATTTAGGGTACAATCACAGTTTTAATAGATTAGGGAGCAAAATTAGAAAAGAAGGCAAAGAAGTGAACAGAGAGGTAATAGGAGAGGCAGGAGGAAACAGTCATTAAAAAAAAAGGGAATCGAGGATTTCTAAACTACAGAAGGGATAGCTGTCAGATATAACCTGGAGCAGTATGACAGTTTTCAAGAGACCACTGGATTTGGTCAGGAAGTCATTTACAACAACAATCTCTGTGGAATGGAAACTGAAATCAATTTTAAAAAAATTGGTGGTACTGGGGATAGAATAAACTAAGTACCAGAAACTGAAGAAGAATAATTGTGAACAAGAGAGAATAATAAAAGTGTAAAGGCCAAGAGTGCATACTATATACATCTGAAGACATTGGACTGGATAAGAAAATAAAATCATTCTGCAATCAGAAAGGACAGCAGGGTCAAATAAGAAGTTATTGATTTTTCAAGATGGAAGGTTGCAGAGCAGAGTGGAGAAAAGAGCCAGTGTTAAAGTTTAAGATGAATGATAAAGTCTGAGTTCAGCTGGCTGAGAGCTGTGTGCGAGAGGAAAACTATCGACAAGACAGAACGAAATCTTTTTCCTAGGGTCTCAGTAAATCCCCTTCTTTACAACAGGTGGTAAGGGATTGTGTGACTAAGCCCTACAGGGACCCAGCACTGGAACTCTGGACACTGAGACTAGGCTAGGCTTACTAGAGGCTGAGTGGCCTTCCAGGGGCCAGAACTCATGATGTGGATGTATTTTGACTGCTGAGGAGGGGCTTTGCAGCAGCCAGGAAGCCTTCCTTAGCCCCGTCTAGGTTAATGCTTCCCAGCACATCTTTCCATTACTCCTTTAATTCTCTTATCAGCTTTGGCCAAGTTTTTTATGTTCCACTGGACTATAAACTCTGGTCTGTGTCTCAGTTTAACTCTGGTAACCAACAGTGTAAGCCTGTATTTAATAGGCATTCAATAAATACCAGCCAAATGCATAAATTGCTAAAAAAAAATTACAGCTGACCTAGGTTCTATCTAGCTTGGTGCTCATGATAACTTAGATAATAACTCTTTGAAATACTATCAGGCAGGCTATGTTCTTAGATGTAGGAATGACTTTATTAAGGGACATAATCTGGACTAATGACTTTTTTTTCTGTCTTTTTGAGACAGGGTCTTCCTGTAGCCCCAGCTGTCCTGGAACTCACTATGTAGACCAGGCTGGCCTTGAACTCACAGAGATCCGCCTGCCTCTGCCTCCCGAGTGCTGGGATTAAAGGCGTGTGCCACCATGCCCGGCTGGACTAATGACTTTTAATTAACCCCAGCAAAGCCATACACTCTTGGATCATCAGTTCTTGGGTCTGATGACCAGGGTACCTCCTTGGCAACCTCAGTTTGGCACTCCAACAAGAAAAAAAAAAACAAAAACACAAAGAAAAAGGAATGAATGTGGGTATGCTCAAGAATTAACAGATCAAACTGCTGCAAGCAGTATACCCACCCATTGAAAAGAGTGGAGGTTGGGAAGAGCCTGTGACCTTGGATGAATGTGAGAATTAAGGGTGGAGCCAAATCTATACTCCCCAATTGAAGCTGGAGAAACCATATTAAATAAATCATGGTGACCTGACAGGGGGTGGGGTTGGAAGAGGTGAGGGGGTGGAGGGTGGAGGTGGGGTGTCTGGGTCTGCACAAGGGGAACTAGTGTCCTCCAAGTTTGGGTCCACTCTTAGAAACTTAATTTAAGAGTGAGACTATTTGTTCAGATGATTATGATGTTGGTGCAATAACAAATGCCACACTCAGGAAAACATACATGATTTTGAACTATGTGGTACATAAATAAACTGAGGATACCAAATTGCCAGGTTAATACTCAGATATGCTCCTGGAGTGATTTAAAGGCACTTCCAACTTAAATGGTATCTAGACTCAAAATATACATCTCAGGCCTAGAAGAGATCTCAGGTCAGGGAGTCATATTTATAACAACAGCTTCATGGAGGTTATCTATCCCACTCCCCTCTCAGTGAATGCTCAAACATATTCTTTATTAGGGAAACATTAACTGACTTTTTAGCATTTGCCAGAATACTTTCAGTGACAGAAAACATGTCTCTTTATGAAAATGGTCACTCCATTTTTAAATTGGTCTAGACATTAGAAAATTCTGGTAATGCCCATGTAGTTTTTGCTCACTGGTTCCCCAAGTTAAAGTAACTATACTTCAGTCTTCCCAGTATCTGAAGAAGGCCACCACATCCTCTCCCAAGGCTTCTCCTTTCCTACTCTTTTAACTTCTTTATGTGATACTCAGGCCAGTTGAAAGGGCGTATCTACACACTTGTTTTCTCATCATTTATACATAAACCAATTCATGAGAAGCAAAAGAATAATGAAAAACATACTAAAAAGTATAAACTGAGGCAGCATACACCCACATGGGAATAAACACAGCAAGGAATACACACTGGAGACATGTCAGTATTTCTTTTCCATCTAATTGTGTCTGACTCTCAAGTCTTTTTCTAACCTAATTTTGAAACAGACTTACCTCAATCCAGTATTCCACATGGTCCTGGTCAAAAGCAGACTACAGAAAATAGATACACAATATTAATAAACAGCAACATCTTAACCAATTTTACCATTTAATCTGTCCTTCCTACTAAACCCCTGGAAAAACATCCTTTAGTCTTTCCTCTAAATTTTTCCTTGAAAAGTTCAGCACTACCTAGCAATGAAAGAACACTAAATCACAGCACAAGGATCAAGAATGCCCCTAATAAAACTCATAGAAACACTAATTCATCTGACTCTGCAATTTTCTGCTCAGAGACAGCTGTGCTCCTTTCTTTCCAGTTTCCAAGAAGTAGACAGAGGCTTTCCTGTCTTTCCTACAACTGAGAGGTTGTCTGGTATAACAAGAGACAGGGAGCTGGGCTGGAGAGATAGCATAGTGGTTAAGAGCACTGGCTGCTCTTGCAGAGGACCTGGGATTGGTTCCCAGCACCCACATGGTGGCTACCAACTATCCATCTATAACTGCAGTTCTAGGAGCTCTAATACCCTCATGGGCATTGCATGAATGAGTGCACTTACATATATGCAGGAAAAACATTCATGCACATAAAAATAAATTTAAAACAATTTTTTAAAAGAGTCAAAGAGTGAAATAGTGGTTTATCATTGGATCTTATTTCACCAAGCATAAAAAGAGGTGCAAAACAAATTAATCTCCATCCATATGAATCAGACATAATCTGAAATTAGCAGTCAGACCACAAGGCACCTCCTTCTTTAGTCTAACTCCCAGAAGCTTACAGAACTCACTTTAAAAAAAGTCACTGAACAAATTGGAGTATCTGCTTTGCAAAACTATTTAGGTACTTTTTTTTAACTAAGGGAACATAAAACTAGCATAGTGGCCTATGAAGGCAGGTGGGAAAGGCACAATACTCCCTTTCACTTAATTAGATAACTAATTAATGCACCATACTGCTGAATAACTTTGTCACTGCAAAAAGAAAGCGCTGATCCTACTAAAACACAGTTGAACTTCAAGATACTTGTGGTTTTACTTTCTAAAAATCTCAGCAGTAACAATGAGCAGTATCAGCAAAGCATCCCTCTTTTTTAGAGTCCTAAGAAATTGTGCCCAATTTTTACCTTTCATCATCAAATCTATATTCATAAGCTATTCTGAGCTCAGTCTATTATGCAACTGATACTTTGCAGGAGGAGCAACCTCAGTTTCCACTCTCTTTAATGATCCAGCCTACACCCTCTAGTATCTCTGGAGCAAGATTTTCACTAAGTTGAATATGCCCAGTGCACATAGTTGGTATATTTAGAATAAACCACAAGAATGATAGCCTGGGGTGGAAACAACTGGTGAAACTGCTCTGCAGGTCATCGTTCAGAACCCTCTCCATTTCAGTACTCGCATTTACATTTAAAAACACTAATTTTTATGACTGTTAAAAAGGTATTCTGGAAGGCACACGTTAGGTGACTGTGACTTTGCATATATCACTTTTTTGTATTCCAAGTTTAAAATGGGGTTATCAGGGTTTTTTTTTCTATTTTTTCTTTTTCATGCCTTTAGGAGGCGGTGTGCAAAGAAGCAAAAGAAATCTATTTTTGAAGGTTAGCGTGATTTAAAAATCACCAAATGAATCAAGTAATGATATATTCAATAACCACTTGGACTTCTGAATTCATTTTAGATACTTGATGTAAAACTGGAAAGGGAGAGATACAAGGGATAGCTCAGAGAATTTAATATGATGATCTCACCCTTTCAAAGATCCCTAGGTCCTAGATTTGAAAAGGGAGGGAGAAATGTGCGGGAAGTTTCCAAAAAATTGGTGTCAGAGGCAGGGGTTCGTTCGGGACCGGGGAAAATTCCCCTAACCTGATGGCCACTAGCAGACCTCTCCGGTTTGAGAATTGGAATAGTTCTTCCAAGATGCTGCCCACCAAATCAGGCGCATCCTTCAGGCTCCTAGAACCACGCCTCTCAGAGCCACGTAAGGTCCTGGGCAGTCAAGGCCAGGTAAGGATGCCCCTGGGGGAAGAGTGAGGAAACACAGGGCGCGAAGTGGCAGGCTTCGCGGCTGAGCGGAGCCTTGGGCCGGTCCCTGTCCCTCAAAGCTCCCAACTGGATCACCTTGGGATTCGGCTTCCTTGCGAATCGTTTCCAGCGACTCTGCCCTATCTTCTTTGAGGAGGACCTTTCCTGGGGCGCCAGCAGCATTGTCCAGATTCAGGCCCAAGACCTCGGGCCACAACAACGACAACCGCTCCTCCGCCCAGGCTGCTTCCGGGTCGCGCTGGGAGTTGTAGTTCCGTATCCACCAGCGATGCAAGGGTTGACCGCCGTGGAACTACTACTCCCAGGAGGTTTTGCGCTGGCAGCTCGCGTTCTTCCCGTTACCATGGTATCGGTGGTACTCATTGGGCTTGCTTTGGTTGGGCCTTTGCCTATTTCTAGCGCCTGGTGATGACGCAATCTTCTCTGATTGGTTCTGCCGCGGAGGCCGATTTAGTGGACCAGAGTTCTGAGAGCCGGACACGTGTTATCTACTGCGAGGTGTTTAAGGGTCCTGAGGGCGGAGAGAGCTAGGGGTCTACAGGTGAGTGTCCCCTTTCCCTGCTGGGGCTAGCTGAGTCACCCCCACTTTTCTTGACGCGTTGACGTCCTACTCCCACTAAGTCTCTCGTTCCCTTCCGGGGTGGTCTAGACCACTCACTTCTGCCAGCTTAGATGCTCCAGCGTTGTGTGATGGTGGGTCACATCCCGGAGAAAAAAGACCTTCTTTCGGCCGGCATCTGCTCCAGGGAGAGCTGCGCAGCCGGAGGTTTTTCTGAATTTCCCAGGTGCTTGGGAGGATGGGCCCTTCTTTAAGCTGTAAGATTAGTAAGGTCTAGGGCTTTAAGGTGGCTAAAGGAGCGAAGACAAATCGAACCATATTCGCTGAGCCTAGATATTCTCGGGAACAGTCTAATGAAGGTATATGAGCAGAGATTTCGAGATGGAGCTTGGACTCAGATACTTGTTGAAATTCAGTTTTCTTTAAGAATTAAAAAAAATTATGTGTAGGAATGTCTTGCCTGCATCTATGTAAGTGCTCCTGTGCTTGCAGTGCCAGTGGAGGCCAGAAGAGGGCGTTGGATCTCCTGGAGCTAGAGTTACGAGAGGTTGTTAGCCACAGTAGGATGCTAAGAGCCGAACCCTGGGTCTGCAGGAGCTGCCAGTGCTCTTAACCCCGAAGACATCTCCAGTCCAGAATTCAGTTTTCTTATTGCCAAACGAGACTATGACACCTGAACCATCAGATAGTTATAATAATTGAAAATCAATGTGTGGAAAACATTCTGCTAGGAATTGTAAACTAAACTTCACTTGAAATTGGTGAAAATGTGGTTAGGGAAGCTGTGCTTTCAGGCTTTGCAATAATCCTAACACTTGCTCTCTGACTTGAGTGTGCACCAGAAGGGGAATGGTTGAGTAAGTTACACTCAAACTTTGCATTATCACAATGCTCGAAGACTTAGTTTCATGTCTATTCCTTGAGAGAGGTGCCCGTGTTTCTGAAAGAAAAGCAAATTTCAGAGACGTTCATATAATATTAGAGGCTTCCATTTTTTGTAAAAGCAAACTCCCTCCCTTGTACAGATTTGTTTCAGTGTTTGGATAAGTATGGAGACAGGTTGTAGAAGCTGGGAGGGTGGATTAGGAGAGGAGGGAAAAGAAGAACAATAATAATACTATAGCAAAATGAAAAGTATCACAGTTAAATCTTAATATTACAGTTAATGTGTAAAGATTTGACACACTGTTCAAGTTGCTCCTTCTAAGCCAGCAGTGCATTAGAGTCATGCTCCTAAAGCTAGACTTCTGTCGTTTAAGGACTAGCTCTGCCACTTACCTCTGGTAACTTTATTATTAGACTCACTTTCCTAATTTGTGAAAGGCAAATAATAATGGGATTTGGAGTTGAGATGAGGATTACTGGAGTTAACATATAAAGAACAGTCCTTGGTACATCATGAATACTAAATAAATGTAGCTTGATGAATGACATTTAGACTGCTACCATCTTCATTTGTATATTCCATTTTATATATATATAATTTTTTTTTAACAGAGTCTCAGTATGTAGTCCTGACTGACCTGGAACTTACTATGTAGACCAGACTGACCTCAGAGTCACAGAGATCCTCCTGCATCTGCCTCCTTAAGCCCAGCTTGATGTATTGTCTATTTTTATTTTTTATTTTTCAAAATTTATTATTTTTATTTTATGGGCATGAGTGTTTTGCTGGGATGTATGTAAGTGCACTTGTGTTGTGCCATGCCCGCAGAGGTCAGAAGAAGGCATCGGATCCCCTGGCAATGAGTTAAAGACAGTTGTTAGCTGTCATGTGGGTGTTGGGAACTGAACTCAGGTCCTCTGCAAGAGCAGCCAGTGCCCTTAACCACTGGGCCATCTCTCCAGCCCCTATTTTTGTTTTTTGAGACAAGATCTTCTAATCCCAGCTGACTTGGAACTCACTGTGTAGATCAGATTGACTTCTAACTCACAGAGATCCACTATCTCTGCCTCCTGAGTGCTGGAATTAAAGGCATGTGCCACCACACTCAGTTTGTATTTTCTGTTTTTTTAAAATATTTATTTTTCTTTTATGTGTAAGAGTGTATTGCCTGTATGTGTGTAAGTGCACCCATGTCGTGAAATGCCCACAGAGGTCAGAAGAAGGCATCAAATCCCCTGGAACTGGAGTTACCTACAGTTGTTAGCCACCACATGGGTGCTGGGAACTGAATCCAGGTCCTCTGCAAGAGCAGCCAGTGCTCTCAACTGCTGAGCCATCTCTCTAGCCTGTATTTTCTATTTTTGATGTGTTTTATTTGGTCTCTTTTTCTTGCCTTCATTGACTTAATCAATTTTTCTTTATTCTGTGTCCCTCTCTAGCAGGTTTGGATATTATGCATTATGTCCTTAATTTCTGGTTATTTCTAAACGTTTAACATGCATACCTAACAGAGTTTAGTGTTATAACCCCCAACACACACACACACACCACACATATACACACACCAAATAGTCTTAAGAATTTTGGAATAGTCTCCCTTTATTCTTCTTATCTTCTGTTATTTGTTTTCTAGAATTTTAGCATCATATCATTAGAAGTCCTTTATATATTTTCTATGAATATATAATTATTGAATCTATATGGGGAAAGTAAGGGGATGTTTCCTTATAAATATTCAATTTTCTTATCATACACAAAAAATGTCATCCCCTACACTACATTCTGTCAGCAAATTTTGGACATCTTTCCATGGAGAGAATCCATTCAAAAAACATTTTAAAACTATCTCTGTCCTGACAGATGAAGGGCAGAGTGACAGTGGCAGTGTTGTCAGAAGTGTGTGCATCTACTGACAGCCTGTCATTTTTCCTTATACTCTTGTGGTTCTTCCCAAGACTTTTCTAGAAACTCCATCTGTAGAAGTGAAGTGAAATGCACAACTCCAGAAATAGAAGAGACAAGTGAAAAGGGAAGGGATGATGATAAAGGCAAATAACCACTTGATGCTTTGGAGACCACTGGTCTGCACCTTGAACTCTGTTTGGGTTAGTCATTATATCACTCCCAAATTATGTTTCAAAAACTATGTACATGAGCGTGCATCTGTGTCTATGTTTCATCTGTTATTTCATAATAGAAACTTGTATTTAAAAAAAATAACAAACATTTGTGTATCATAAAATAATGAATGAGAATAGGAAGTGTTAGTTCTTCTATCTCTGGACAAAATTTCAATGTATCATTTTGAATGCTGATTTCCAACCAGAGTGCATTTTCCAGCACTAGTTAGGTGGTTCACAGGGTAAAGGTGCTTGCTACCAAGACTAAAGCCTGGGTTTGGTCCTTGAGACCCACATGGTGGAAAGAAGAAACCAACTCCCACAAATTGTCCTGTAACTTCCACACTCACTGGTGGCATGCACACAAAAGCAAATAAGTAAATGTTTGCATGACACAGGTGCACTTAGATACATGCAAGCAATACACTTATACATATATGTGTTGTTACAAATATGTGTTGTTATGGATTATTGTTAGCTGCCATGTGGGTGCTGGAAATCAAACCTGGGTCCTCTGCAAGAGCAGCCAGTGATCTTAACCGCTGAGCCAATAAACTCCAGCACCAATAGAATATTTTTTAAAAATAAGTACATGTAATATAAGTGTATTTTCTAGCGACTGTCCTCAGTTTCTTTTTTACTTATCTTTCATAAGGCAGGCTCTCAGTATAGACCCTGGGTTAGCTATGAAGTCAGTGTCCTCAGGCTTCTGGGTGTTGGGACTAGTGGTATTTCTACCACAGCTGGCTCTGTCCTCAGATTTTTCAGTATTCATTTCATATTCACAAAACATAGTCATTGACAATATTCAGTGCTTTTTTGAAACCTCTTTTTCCTTCACCATCATTTCACTTACCACAATTTGGATGAAACACTGGAAAACCAAATAACAGAATGTGGGTACATCCAAGTCTTACATTATGAGAAGAGCCAAGTGGATATTTCCTTCCAGCTGACCCATTGGGCTCAATATGCTAAGCTGAGGATTTTTTTTTTTTAATGTGTATGTATGTTTTGCCTGCAGGTATGTAAGTGCACCCCTGTCATGCAATGCCTATGGAAGTCAGAAGAGGTTGTTGGATTCCCTGTAACTGGAGTTGCAGTTTTTAGCCTCCATGTGGGTGCTGGGATCCAAACCTGGGTCCTCTGGAAGAGCAGCCCATGCTCTTAACCTCTGAGTAACCACTGTTTAATTGGTTTTAGCATCTCTAAAGTCTAAGAGTAGTTGTACATTATCTGAGATATTAAGAACACATTTAATAAAGCACTGGGGTTTGTTGCTTTCCCCTGAAATTGAGTGTGCTTATCAGAAGCTTTAAGCCATATGTTAATACTATGGAAAAACAAAGCCATAGGCTTGATGGGAAGAAGTAATAATAAAAATTGATAAATGCTAGAATCCTAAACCTAAAGTTTAATTAAAAATTGTAATTATTAATGTGCCAATTGTACATTGTAATCATACAGGAGGTTTGACTGAGGCTGCCTTACATCTTTGTGTGGTGCTTTCATTGCATCCACCCTCCCAACTCCCCTCTTGTTCCCTTTTGCCTTCTCTCAGCTTGGTACCTTTACCCTTCCCAATAGTCCCTCTACTATTTTCAGGTCTTTTTTTTGGGGGGTGGGGGGTTGAGACAGGGTCTCCCTGTAGCCCCAACTGGCCTAGAACTCACTTTGTAGACCAGGCTGGCCTTGAACTCACAAGATATTTGCCTGCCTCTGCCTCCTAAGTTCTGGGAGCCTATTTTTCGGGTCTTTTAAAAATTATTATTCATTTTTTAAGATAGCATAGCAAGTAATGGTATTTTCGTACATTTTTTAAATTCTAGTTTCTACGGGTGAGTGAAAGCCTGTGATATCTTTTATCTGTGTCTGACTTACTTCACTTAAGGTAATGACCCCTAATTCCATTCATTTTCCTAAGAATGACACCACATTAGTTTTTCTTTGTGGTTGAATATTACTTTATGGTTTACATACACAGTATTTTCTTTGTTCATTCTTTTTTTGAAATTATTTTTGTTTATGCGTATGACTGTTTGGCATACATATATGTGAATACATCATGTGCATGAAATTCTCACAGAGGCCAGAAGAGTGCATCAGATCCCCTGGAACTGGAGTTTCAAATGGTTGTCAGCCACCATGTGGGTGCTGGGAACTCAATCCAGGTCTTCTGAAAGAGCCGCCAGTGTTCATATCACTAAGCCATCTCTCCAGCCCCTGTCCATTTCCATTCTTCTTAAACTTTGCTTTTCACATATTCATGCAAATAGTTTTTGCTCAGTGAAGGCTCTATTACCTTTATATGAATTTGCCTGTAAAGTACAATTCTTGTGAGTACATTCAAGTTCTTTGCATACCTTCAACACCACAAAGAAGACAATGTCTGAAGCAAGGGGAGGAGACAGTAGGTTCTGGTTTCCAGAACTTCTGAAGAAGCTTCTTAGAAGACTTTCCTTCTTCTCAAGTATGTATGAAGAGAGGAAGTGTTGGTTATTACAGTGTGTAGTAATCCTGGAATGTTAAATTTTCATCAGTTCCAGCTTATATTTTAAAGCTAGTGTTGCCTGTTGGTTGATCCCACTATTCATTCAGAATGACAGGTGGATTCATTAGCTTTACAGTGCGTTTCTTGCCCTTGTACCTATCTCTGCTTCAGTTCTCCACCACTTACATAGATTGCAAAACACTCCTTAATTCTGTGATAGCATGGCTTCAAAGCTCTGCTGGTTTAAAATAGGAAATGTACTTTAAGTTTGCAAAATGAGTATTAGCTGATAAACAAGGAACATGATTCTTTTGTGTAAAAATTTCTGAATTCTTATTAATCTGCAATTATGTTTTTTTTATTTACTTATTTTTATTTTATGTGTATGCGTGTATTGCCTTCATGTAGGTAAGTGCACCCGTGTCGTGCGATTCCCGCAGAGGTCAAAAGAGGCTGTCGGATCCCCTGGGACTGGAGTTATGGACAGTAGTTAGCTGCCATGTGGGTGCTGGGATTTGAACCTGGCTCTTCTGCAAGAAGAACCATTGTTCTTAACCACTGAGCCATCTCTCCAGCCCCATAATTATGTTTTTTATAATATTGCAGAATTAATTTTCTTTTAATACTTTCAACAACTGTCAACAAGATTTTTGTTTTTGAAAAAGTACCTTTTATACTATTCACTGTTAAAACATATTTTTTCCCCTTAACAGTTATTTCTGTGTGTTCTAATAGCATTAATTTTGTGTGTGTGCATGTGTTGATGTGTGTGTGCATGTGTGTGAAGGTCTTCCTCAGTTGCTCACCTCACTTTTTCAGAAAGGGTCTTCGATTGAACCTAGAGCTCCCTGATTTGGCTAGGATGGCCGGCCAGTGAACTCCAAGCATTTGCCTGTCCCCTCTCTCACACCCTGACCCCTGCTCTAGAGTTATGGATTACACTGACATTTCCAGCTTTTATGTGGGTGCTGAGGATCCATACTTGGTCTTCATGCTTGCATGCATGGCAAACATTTGACCCACTGAGCCATCTCCCCAACCTAATAGCATTACTTTTTATGTTTCTACACTTGTGATAATTTGAAATAATGATCTTAAAGTCAGAGAAAACTGACCAGGCTTTCCTCAGACATTTATATTCAATTTTATAATTTATGTTTAATATAAAATCTCATTTTGGGTATTACAGAAAGGTAGTTTTGTCTAAGATTCTAATGACTATAATTGCTGTCTTAAGTATAAGAATTTAGTTCTCCTTAAAACATAATGTTTGCTTTCCTGAATTCCTTTAGATTATGCTTATTTGGTTGTATCTTAGTGTGTGGGGTGGTTCATAAGTATGCACATGCTTGTGGAGGCTATCAAACAGCATCTAGTGTCATTCCTCAGGCACTGACCAACTTTTTTGGAGATGGGTCTCATAGACCTAGGCTTAGGGCATGCCAATTAGACTAAACTGACTGGCCATCATTCTGTCAGTTTCTGCCTTCCCAGCAGTGGAATTAACAAGCATGCACCATCTACTAGGCCCAGCTTTCTAAAATGTGGGTTATGTTAACTCAGCTCAGTCACCATAAAGCAAGCACTTTACCTATTGAGCTACTTCTCCAAGCCTGTTAGGTCGAGTCTTAAAGAATGCTTGTCTTTCAAAGTAATGCTTCAAGAAGATAGACTCTATGGTTTCAGGTTCTCATGTAGCTATAATAATTTATCTGTTGATAAAGCTTAGGGGTTGGCAAGATGGCTCGGGGTAAAGTGTTTGCTGTGGGTGAGGTCCTGAGTTTGAACCCCTATCTCCTACATAAAAGCCAGGCATGGCAGCATTTGCCTATATCTCTACCACTAGGGACTGAGACAGGGGCTTCCTGGCGTCTACATACATGCATACATGCAAAGCACAAAGGGTACTTGTTGTAGTAGTGTAAAAAAGTATTTTATAACATGTTATAGTTTTTATGTAATTTCTAAAATTTATCATTTCGGGTGTATGTATGTGTGCATGCTGTGTGTATGTGGGCATATGTGTCATGGCAAGTGTGTAGAGTCAGTTCTCTCCTTCACTCTTTAGGTGGGTTTGGGGATCAAGCTCAGGTTGCCAGATTTGGCAGCAAATGCCTTTACCCACAGAGCTGTCTCTCTGATCCTCCAGTGACATTCTGCAAATGATCTGTCCTGCTGACTTATCGAACTCTAGTGCATTTTAAAAGTAGAACTCGTGATTGTTCACACTGAGTACTAATTATTTGATGGTACACTACAAATAATGCTGTTTTCTGTTTTTCAAACCCTCCTGTTGTATCTACAGAAGTTCTTTTTTTTTCTTTGAACAAAGGCTTATCTTTCTCAATTATGGAAGTTATGAAATCACTTTATTTATATGTGCCATGTCATTTCTTGCCTATGTTTGAATAAAGTGGACTATAATCCCATTTTGGAGATAGTCTCTCTGTTTTGCTCTTTAATGTATATTCAATATGCTGTTTTGGAGTCTGTTTTTTTTTTCTTGAACAACACTGTTAGGGAAAAAATACAATATTTCTTAGTGTTCTTTGTATTTGGAGAAAGAAATAAGTGCTTCAAATCAGTAACGTGACCTCAGCAGTATGACCTTTCCCTGTGCATATTTTCAAGACTGAGTGACCTTGGCTTTGTGACATTCTTCTCACAATGAATCTTCCTATTTCCATCATTTCATTTATTTTCTTTTAATCAGCTTTGATGAAAGAAAGAAAAAGAAAGAAAGAAAGAAAGAAAGAAAGAAAAAAGAAAGAAAAGAAAGAAAGAAGAAAATATGACTAAATTTAAAAGTGATTATTATTTTGCTCAGGGACATTGGCGAAAGTACCTTAGTCTCTTTTTCCCTTCTCCTGATCCCAAGATGTGAACCCGAAGTAGTAATAAGCATGCAGCCATTCATTTGCTTGTATGTTGCTTTCTTCCCCAAATGCTTAGCCTTTAGATGCTTGGAAACTCCTTCTAAATGTAATGCTCTTTTCTTATCAGAGCCAAGGAATCTCTAGTGATGAAGCTGAGTCTCATCAAAGTCGTTAATGGCTGTCGTCTGGGAAAAATACAAAATCTGGGCAAAGCAGGGGACTGCACCATGGACGTTCCAGGCTGTCTTTTGTATACCAGAACTGGCTCTGCCCCACACCTGACCCAGCACACACTGCATAATGTCCATGGGGTCCCAGCCATGACCCAGCTGACCCTGTCTTCCTTGTGAGTATTGAGTCTAATCATTCCAGGTATCCATGCCTTGGTTAGGTGCAGCAAAGAGAAATATTTCGATTTTTCGTATGTATAGTTTATAGATTTTCAGAATATCAGAAGAGAGGTATTAGATACTATATAACATTTGGTTTAACCTGGATCCATAGGCCAGACCTATAGATTAGCTTTGTTTGACATTTCCTTCTAACTTTCAGGCCCGTTTCTACCCTTGTTGCTACTGCTCCCTGAATGAGGGCAGGGAATGCTTTACAAGAACTAAACAGGCACCTTTAAGGGCTCTTGTGCCTTCTGCAACTCTACTTAATAGTACAGATTTGTGAGATCAGAATGAATAAAGTTAAATCCATTTTATGTAAGTACAAACTGACTTTATATTTAATTGAAGGTCCTGCTTTGTTGCCAAATAACTCTGAATTATTGTGTTAATAACAGTGATTTTAAAGGGATAAGAAATGGAAGAAAATCCATGTGTTATGAAGCAGTTGATCTCTGCCAGTTTCACTCCTCTCTGCACCATTTGCAAATTGAAGACTTGATTTTGACTAATGAATCTAGCCCTATCAGTTAGAAATCTTGAATAATGATATACTTTGTTGTTGAAGATGGCATTTCCTATCCCATAGCTTATTTGGGTGAGAAGAGGGCTTCAGTTGTTGTATAAAGGATCTGAAGAATGACCTATTATTAAGCCATGCGTTTTTCTGTTTTGCTTACAGGGCACAACATCATGAAGTCTTGGCAGAATATAAGAAAGGAGTCGGAAACTTTATAGGTAAAGATTACTTAAATTATTTGTATGCTATTTGTGATATGTTAATTTGGAGTTTAGAGGTACTGCTGACTTACTGTTATTCGCTCATACATAAATTTATTCATTATTTTTAATAATCATTGTTGGGACATCTAAGAACCAGGCATTGGTGATTCAGAGTTCAATAAGAAACAGATGCTGCTGGCTGCTTTGCAGAGTCATGGTTATATACATGTATCATGACAGACCCACAGGGAGCATATAACCTGCTCCGGGTGGAAGATGTTCACAATAAAGAAAGGATTCTTGAGAGAGAGGATGAAGGGGCATCTTAGCTGGGTTGGGGAGGACAAGTGTTAGCCAGTCAGGAATGGGAGCAGTGGTGCTGGTAGGCAGGTGGGCTGACTCACCAAGCCCTGAGCAAAGATGAGCAGAGAGCCTGTATGGGACATAGATGGATCTCAGGGCCATCTCCTCATGCTGGAATTTCATTCATGAAGTGGGTGAACTGTGTGTACCCAGCCATATTCTCAAACATCTTTTTTTTAAAATATTTTTATTTTATTTTATTTTATGTGTATCCGTGTATTGCCTGCATGTATGTAAGTGTACCTGTGTTGTACAGTGCTCGCGGAGGACAGAAGACACTGTCAGATCCCCTGGAGCTGGAGTTACAGACAGTTGTTAGCTGCCATGTGGGTGCTGGGATTTGAACCTGGGTCTTCTGCAAGAACAGTCAGTGTTGTTAACCGCTGAACCATCTCTCCAGCCCCACTGTTATTTTTTGTGTAGATGCATGTTCCCATCTTGTTAGAGGAAAAACTTAGTGGAAGCAACTAGCTCTTCCGTAGGCCACTTCCTCCTAAAAATTTCCCCAACATCTAGGCCTCATTAAGTGAATAAAAATCCACCTCCTTCTTCATTCATTCTTCTGAAGGAAGCTGCCTGATGCCTTGCTAGTTCAGGAGAGGGAATGATATAATCTCAGTGTCCCTCAGATGAGGCTCATTCTAATCACCAACTTTAAAGTACACACCTTTGATTGAGTGACCTTAGCTGGCATGTGCTTTCAAGAAATAATTGTAATAACTGAAATTTGGCAAATAAGGTTTTAACTTTTTTTCTTATGGAAAAATGTGGGGTAGCATATGAAATTTAAGTACATATGGCTTGAAGCTGGACAGATGGCTCAACAGTTGAGAGTGCTTGTTGCTATTCCAGAGCACCCAAGTTTGGTTCCCAGCATCCACATTAGGTGGATGCTCCTCCTGACCTTAGGAGCATCCTACACACACACACACACACACACACACACACACACACACACACAAATAAATAGGTAAATCTTTAAAGAGGTACATATGGTTTACTAATCATTTTTGAAGATTTTTTTAAATGACTTTCTTTTTTACTTAAGAATCTACGAAACTGTCATCTTAGGTTCATAAAACATACTGAGAGTGAGATTCAGATGAACTCCATTCACACTGTTGTAATCCTATCCCTTATTACTATGACTCTGTCATTCATCTTTCTAGAAGCTAGTTTTTGAATCACTCCTAGGACGAGCACACTTGATATTAAGTTCTGAATCATACACAAGCCTAAAAATCCCAGTACTCATAGGAAGAGGCAGGAGGATCAGAGTTGGAGACCAGTCTGGGCTACAGAGTGAGTTTGAGGCCACCTTGGATAAATCTTATATTTAAAAAAAAAAAAAAAAAAAAAAGGGCATGGCAGCGCATACCTTTAGACCCAGCACTTGGGAGGCAGAGGCAGGTGGATCTCTGTGCATTCAAGGCCAGCCTAGTCTACATAGTGAGTTCCAAGCCAGCTAGGGCTATGGGGGACCTTGTCTCAAAAAGACCAAGAAAAAAAAAAATTCTTTAAATCATAAACTGAAAGGGTCAGTATGTCACTAACATATTTCATTATATCTTCATACTTTTCCTTTGTAACAACTTTTTACATTATTAACTATAAATCTTTAAAATTAATTCTTCTTTTAGTTTGGTAGGTCTCAAAAAATAATTTCTTTCCTGTTCATAGGTTTTCTAAAAGTCTAAGATCCATGCCAACTGTTGACAGTGATTAGAGTCTCTTTATCCACCAGCATACCCTGTGAAGCTTTCCTTGTGACAATACAGTGTAATTGTTGATGCAGCACTTTCAACAGTTCTTTTTTATGTTTATACAGGCATGCCAGAGTCCCTCTTCTATTGTTCCCTGCATGATCCGGTCAGCCCCTGCCCAACTGGTTATGTAACAAATAAGGTGTGTTCTTAGAAGGGCCCTCAAGGCTGCAGCTTGGTCCCAGGGACTCAGCTGATTGCTGCCCCCAACCTGGCATCCCAGTTGCTGTGATGATTCCTTTATGCCTTCTGTTTATGTTGATGATTTTTATGGAATGTGATGATTCATGAGTGAGTGGGGCTGCCTAAGGATGAGTTAAGGTAAGGAGTATATCCTCAGCAAAAACTTAGAGGGTGAAGAAAGGTCAGGCACATGCCAAAAAAAGAAATTGCTATGAGAGAAGAATAACTATACTCTTTTGTTACTGTGCTTTATTTGCAGTTTTAGGAAGAATAGGGAAGATGCTGATAAGTGTTATCACGTATATAACTGTATATAGTAGAACTCAGTGTAATGCTGCTTGCTGGTAGAACAGAACTTGAAAACCCTGGCTCTCCAGCCAGATGTTTTAGCTAATACAGAATAGTATCAGAGGAACATCATTATAAATTTTATTTGATGGGGCTGGAGAACTTGCTGCTCTTACAGAGGACCTGAGCTCAGTTCTCAGCACCCCCTCGGGTAGCTCATAATTACCTTTAAATTCCAGCTCCAGGGGATCCAACACCGTCTTCTGACCTCTGAGGGCATTGCACAACATGGTGCACTTACATATGTGCAGGCAACACACTCATATGCATGAAATAAAAATAATAAATTTTTTTAAAATTTATTTATTAACCACATACTTAGAAGAAGCATTTCATTACAACAGCATTGACATATTCAATAACAATTTCCTGAGTTAAGATGCATCTCTTTCAAAACTGGCTGTAAATTTTTAGGTTTACAGTTGAATTATTACAGTTATACAATATTGTACTCAGTATAAACCCTATAAGACATAAAATTAAATGAGGTTTTAACCTTTAAAAAAGATCTCCATTTCATTATTAAAATACACAGTTTCATACAGAAAAATTCATTTTTAATGCAATTGACATTAAGGTGTTTACACATGCATTTCTAATCTCTATATGTCTGATTATTACTAGTCACAGCTGGTTACTTTCTGAGCTCCTTGGCATCTG